AAAATTAAATATTTTTTTATCAAAATATTAAAAATATAAATATTTATTAAAATATTTTTATTTGATTTAAACATTTATTTAAATATATGAATTCAATATTGTAAAAATCTATTTTATTTTAAAATTGTATGCATGCAATGCTAATATGCTAATAAGCATGGAATAAATGCTCTTTATTAAGAGTATTTTACTATGGAAAAAAATTATTTTATTGTTAAATTAGTTATTATTTAAAATTAAAGACGTAAAAAATGTAATATATTTTATAACCGTAAAGGTTTTTAAATATTATGTTTACAAAAACTAATAACACGATTTTGTTTTCAAAGCGCTAAGAAATAAAAATAATTAAAAAAATATTTTATCATTCTAAAATAAAAATATTTATAATTACATAAACCAAAACAAAACATGTGCTTTTATTTTCAGTGTTTTGCAGTTCAAACGAATGATTTTTTTTTCATTTTGGAAATTTTAATTAGTTTCTGTTTTAGCTTTTTAAGAAACAAAATATATGTGGAACATTTTATTTTATTCAAAAAAGTCAAATACTTACACATGATTGTTGTGTAAACACTGACGTACGTTTTAAGTATGTTAATAATTTCCGTTAAACTTTAGAAAAATAGTACAACAATCCATTTTACATATTCCATCCATTCAAAAAATATTGTAAATTGTATATAATGTGTTTGTATTTTTTGCTGCAATAATATTAAAAATAGTTCTAGTGAGATGAAAAAAACTTCTATGCAAAAAATCGAAATAAAATTTCTGCTGACAATGTATAACATTTGAAAGATATAATTTTTTTGATAAAATAGGGTTTTTCTTTATAAATCAAATTTCATATAAAGCAGGATTTCTAAAATCAAGCATTTCTTCAGATTTTATTTGTATACTACTAGTATGTTTTGATTCTAATAACAACGTCTTAAAATAAATTAAAAAGTAATTCAGAACATATATCTTTTAAAAAATAATAATTTATTACAAAGTTTTTAAGAAATCTAAGTACTTGTAAAAACTAAATATAAACTGCTTACTGCTTTTTAATGAGAGTCTTTCCAAAAATATGATTTTATCTTCAAATTTGAGATTTATTTATGTATGTAATATTTTATAACATGAGATAGCTATGAAAAATTTAAATTCATTAGAAAATAAAAAAAATAAAATTTCAAACTATTAATTAAATTTCTTAATGAAATGAAATTATTGTTCAAAGGTTTAAGATTTTCTATTTTAATACGAGTATTTTACTGAGTTTATTCATCTCATGTACGACGAGCATGTAGTAGGTTCGTCATTAAGCAGAGTTCATCACGTGGGCCTACTACACTATACCTACAAGGCGGATATGATGAATAATTTAGATACTTTTCGGTTTCTTTTTAAAACTAACAGGTTCTGGTATTACATACGTAGAAAACCAGAAAATTACCAATGTAACTAGTGTATGGACTGCTTTGAATGCACTTCTGTGCACAGTTTCAATAATAGCTTTATCATCCAACGATATATGAATAATTTGGAAAATACTGGACATTGTTTTAGGATACAAGTAATTTGTATTACACATAAAGGAAACCAGGAAATTGCCAATGTAGCTAGTGTAATGACAGAAAAATGTTGGTAAAGCACTTATCTGTCAGTAACTTTTTATGGTGTTAAATGATCTGATAAGATGGAATTCATAGTATCGTCCTAAATTCTTCCAAATAATTACAACGTAACTTTTGTTGTTTCTTATTCCAATTGATAGACATCTAGATCAATCGCTTCCCAGCCTATTATCTAAGATCAAAGTGTAGACATCTAAATCAAGCCCACGAACCCGTATGGATTCATGGTTGAAGGGAAAAGGGGGCAGCTTCTGTTGTGATGGAGCAACCATAAGTTAAAGTTACGAAGAGTCTTTAAGTCTGATTCGGCTCCGTGGCGCTCTACGGTCATATGAGACCGGGGCCTACGGCTTAAAGTGTATTCCGAACCACTACAAATATCCATGGCATCGTCGGAACTCGAAACCGAAACCTGTAGCACAGAGCGCCAGAACGCTAGACACTTGGCCATTCAGGCCCTAACTTTTGTTGACGCTATAACAAACAAAATTTCATTGGGGCTATTATAAAAAAATTAACTCTGCCTATTGCAGATGCCTTGGCTTCTGCATTAGCCTGTCAAAAACCATGGTAAAAGAGGAGGTTCCGGGGTAGGGTCAGTCATTCTACGTTGTAAAATCCCAACTGACTACAGAACTTAAAAGCCTACAGAAGATACAGAAGCCAAAAGGATTCATCCGCGAGAAGACACTTCAAATGTGAAAAAGAATTCTCTCTTAATGATATTATGAAAAGACAAGTGACCATCCATCAATTGAAATGGTCTTCCCAACGATTCATTTTTAGACATAGATTAAAACCTTGTATTTTCTACTAAGTACACTGCGTTTATTTAATAAAAAAAATGAAACAGAAACTTTAACATGAAAGAAATCACATATTCTCTCAAGTATGGCTTGCTGAAAGTCCTCTTGGTTGGAAAAAAAAATCATAAAAAATTACAAACCATAATCTGTCTGTCCAATAATTTGTATATCCCAAATTAAACACACTTTTTATGAAACTTTCTTAAATCGGTTTTGAAATGAGTAAGTTTACCAGTAATTGTATTTGCTTTTGATAAAAGCACAAGCTCAGTAATGAAAAATATTTCCAAACTTCTTTCTCCAAGAAATTTAGAAAGATATCTCAAGTGGAAAAAAAATTAATAATTTATTATAATTCCCTCAAAGGCAATTTTCAAAATTTGTTCGGAACTTTAACAAAAAAAAAAGTGTAAATGCATGTTGACAAGTAAAAAATAAATGTTTGAAGTTTTCGAAATTTTTGCTGAGAAAATTAGTGAAGCAAGTTAAGTTTTCTTCTCTCTTAAGATATAGCTGATAAACGTGTTCTTTAATTTCAGATTTCTGTGAAAAATTTTGTTTGTTAATATAATTAAATAATCTGTTTTCCTGTCATGTTTCATAATATTTACATAAGAAGAAAAGTTAAGAAATTAGGCTGTCTTAAGCATCTGCTAATATTTTTTTTCCTGTTTCGAAAAATTTAATTTTGAACTTTTCTTCGTCAAAAACTCTTTATGCAAGTTGGAAGTTTAAGCGTAAATGTAAACCATTGTAGAAAGCACTTTATCCCCCTGTTTCCATTAAACTTATTTTTAGCTTTTGCTAATTATTTATACAATTTAACTGACTGTTCATTAACATTTAATTTTGATGTCATTCGCTATTAATACTGTAGATTTGTAATAGATTCAACAATGTGCACTGTGCGTCATAAAAGCCTTCTTACACTGTATTAAAAGAGGTAAAAAAAGGAGAATAAATTCCTTTTTGTATATCTGTTGTTGTTGCTTATCCCCTTGATTTAGAATCCTAAACCAAGTCCAGTAGATCATGCTGCATCAATAGATCGTAAACTGTCCTCCCCTCATTCAACAGTTGCCTCACAGAGGCACCAATACAATCGATGAGATGAGAGGGAGATGCGATGGTCGAACAATGACAAAGGGCATATGTCTTCTCGTCTCCATTGAAGGTCAAACTCTTAGTGTGGCCAGTCCTTAGTCTAGCTAAAGCCGTTTGAGCAGGTCTAGGACAGGAGCACTGCAAGGACATACCAGGATGTATCTTAATAAGATAAGTTCAAATTTGTCAGGAAGATCCAAGCAACCAATCAGGTGATGATGAAGCATGTTGCCAAAGCACATGTATTAAGTAGCCATAATTAAACAGATATACAGTAATTGTATAATAGTTTCCTGTTAAAACGATAATATTGAAATAAAAATTTGATTTATTTGTTTACATTTTATTCTTAATATCAAAATACAAATAAATTACATGATTATATAGATTTAAAATAAATTTGAATAAAAATAGCCCTTTTAATATTTTATTATTATTATTATTATTATTTGAGTTTTCATGTATTTTCTAATATTTTAACTTTAAGAAAAAAAATTTAAATATTTAAGATAATAGGAAACTACTGGATTAATTTTAATGTATTTATTTTTAATGTTCCTTATTGCAGTACATGAATTTTAAATTTAAACTATTTTCTAATTCAATGAAAATTTATTTGTAAATATAGATATAATTTTAATGGAATTTTCTTGTATTTTATAAATAATCTACTGTTTCCTAATTATAATTCTCATTCAGAAATAAATTTATTATCAATGTCTTGTACATTGGATTGTCCCATATCAAATGAATTTTTTAGCTGGCGTTCTGTAAAATATATTTCTACCAGTATTAAGTTAAATGCAATTTATATATATAATTTTATTGCTTCTTTGACTAATTGTACATCTTGTTTCCATATAGTTTTGAAATTTTAAAGAAGAAATTTAAAAAATAAACACGAAAACCCACAAAATATAATTTTTCTCTGTGAATATAAACTTATATATTCTGCTACCCAAACAACACGAAAGAATAATTCTGCATTTGAGAATTATATATCTGATGTTTGCGCACCGTAGAATACTTGGATGGATCTTGGAGTAGGTATAGCAACAGCTTCGAGACATCGTTTTAAAGGGGAAAAAATTTTAAAAATAGGTTGCACAAGAATTGACATCTGGGCAGAAATTGTGACGATTGCAGATTTGCAAATCATTCAGCATTCGAGACAGAAATGGTTTCTTTTTGGACCGTACCATTCCTGGTGGTTAAAAGTTTACAATTATCCTGTATGAAAATTGTAAACACTCATCACAGTGGCTGCATATAGATGAAAGGTTAAAACAAGTTAACATCCAAAGAACCCAATAGTGACTGTTTGATGTAACCAATGGGATTTATCAAGTGTTATAAGGGGAGTTATTCATTACAGTTTCATAGGAATAGATCAAGCAAATAATGCCCAGTATTATTGTCAACAATTGCAATTGTGCATTTGAAATTATTGTTATCAGAAAAAGCCAACGGCCATACCATGCTGAATATACCGGTTCTCGTTAGATCACCGAAGTCAAGCATCATTGGGATCGGTCAGTACTTGGGTGGGTGGCCACCTGGGAACACCGCGTGCTGTTGGCATTCTCAAATTTGGGACCTGAATGGCCGAGTGTCTAGCGCTCTGGCGCTCGATGCCACAGGTTTCGGGTTCGAATCCGGCGGTGCCAGGGATGTTTGTAGTGGTTCGGAATCCACTTTAAGCTGTAGGTCCCGGTCTCCTATGACTGTAAGAGCGTCACGGAGCCGTCAGACTTCTACCTACGGGTGCTCCATCACAACAGAAGCTGCTTCCTTCCCTTCAATCGTGAGTGCATATGGGCTCGTGGGCTTGCCAGCCAAGTGGGATAAGAAACAACAAACAACAACAAGCGTTAGTGAAGCGAAAATCGTTATTATTGAGTATAATAACTCAAGCCCTCATTTTTCACAAGTTCTCACTCCAAAAAACTGAATGAGTGGAGATTTAAAGTTCTGACTCATCAGTACGCATTCACTAGGATTTTTCTTCTACTGATTACCAATTCTTTGTAAATTTGGAAAAATTTTTTAAGAATAAACTCTTTATCAATTTTTCCAAAAGAGTCTTTACTAAATTTATTGATTATAAATTATAGGTGGTCTTTCAAACTCACATAAAAGGGCTTTGCAATCTCTGGCAGAAGTGGAATGATGTAGACGGGGACTATTTTGATTAAATAACTTCAAACAATTTATGTTTGTACCCTTTTAAAGATTGTGTACTCAAATATTTATTTGGCATGGGACAATTTAATAGAATAGAACTAAGCAATAAAAATTTTATGCGGTTTAATTGATATCAAATATGAAGCGAGTTTTATACTAAGTTTGCCTCTGGCAGAAATGAAGTTCATCACCACATTAATTTATCTGAATTGTATACGCATACGCATTTGGGCGGCCTGGTGGCTAGAGCTCTGGCCTTTGGCATCCTAGGCTTAAGGTTCGAATCCTTGTGGTAGCATGGATGTGTGTTAGTGGTTCGGGATCCACTTTAAAAATATAGCGTTCCGGTCTGTTTATCCCAAAGTATGCACAAGATGATCGTAGAGCGACAAACCAAATCATATCAATCTCGACATTTGGTTTAGTAATAATAATAGAGAGTTTTTGCATACCGTACGTTAGTTACCGTAGGACGTCCGTTAGCTTTTTCTCCCTAGAGCGCATGCTCAGTTTCCTATGAGCATGCGCACTAGGGAGAAAAAGCTAATTGGGATGCATTAGGAGCTTAAATCATAATAAATAAAAAATCTGTGGAATGTATATTAATCCACTTTCAACCAATGCATTGTGGGCCAACATTTATTTTTTGTGTTATTAATAAAGATCTTTCTAACATGTTAAATATTAAAAATGATTTTTTCTTTTAATGAACTAGGCTTTTATGATTACACACTAGCAATTTTCAAATTAAACTAACTGTGCCAGAAAAACATTTGTAAGATGGCAAATATCTTAGAGCAAATCTCTCACACTCCAATTGGTTGACGTGATGCCAATATTTGAAATGTATCGTGGACCTTTGGCCCACCCTATATTTCTACTACAGATTTCTCCAATATATCAGTACCCCCAATCTGCCAAGAAGGAAGAAAACCACTCAACAACCACTTTATTGCCATTCTCGGATTGGTCCATGCCGGGGGCCGCATATCGCTGGTCGTAATCATCAATAACAATTTCACAACACAGCACTTAATGACACATTCCGAAATGTACTGGCCTCTAATTTTGTCGCAGTAGCTATTAAAAAACAAAAGCAAAAGCACGCACCCACCTCGCTACGGGGTCTTAATGAGTTTAAATAAGGGCGATTGGGCTTTGGCATTATTTTAATACTGTTGGGTCATTTTTATCTGGCATTCGTGTGGTCGCAGACGATCGTTGGTGGTCAGTTGCCTCATACCTGGGTTTGCGGTAGGTCTCTGCAAGGAAAAAGCACGAAGTACTTATGGAGGATAAT